CTTAACTTAAAAAATATAACTCTATGGCGCCAACGACGTTCAACGCTAGAAATCAGCTGTGCGCTTGAATGTTATTGTTATGCTTTAAAGTATTTTCCTACCTAACCTAGCTTTTGTTAGTAAAAGAACGTTACTGATAGAAGATGAGTGAAATGGATAATGAAAAATATTGTACGTAAACCCATGTATATTGTCGGGTCAGGTAAAATCTTGTACGTTACACGTTACGCAAGAGCGTGTTTACATCACTTAGGTGAATTATGCAACTCGCTTCCGCTCGTTGCACAACATTCACCTGCGTGAAGTAAAAACGCTCTTACTACACTTGTAATGTAAATAGCTATTATCCAGTTGCTCTAAACTATTATTAATTTAACAAAATATGGACACGGCTCATATGGGCAACGTGTCCTTTTGCACTTGTATTATTGTGTATTGTATAACACAATCGAAGATTTGTCCAACGTTTGAAAACATGTATGACAATAATTTCATGAACCTATGATGATCTGTCTAGAATAATATCATTGATAGTCAAAGATAATATGATAAAATATAGACAAAAGTAGTGAAAAAGGCAGACAGCAACCCGTACAATAGATATAAGATAGTTCAATAAGAAATGATTGAAAGAGTTACTGTGATAAAAGGATTTTTAACTGATTTCGTAATGAAACGTTATATTGAAAAACATGACATGATACAGAAGAAAATTAATTTTACCTAACCCGCCATGTTAAACTTCCCTATCCCAAGCGTGATGTATACAACTTCCTTACTTCTCGAGTGATGTAAAGTATCAAAAACTCACTCGGTGATGTAATGAAACCCATTTAAATAACATTTAGTGATTAACTTAAAAAATATACATCTATGGAGCCAACGACGTTCAACGCTAGAAATCAGCTGTGCTCTTGAATTTTATTGTTATGTTTTAAAGAATTTTCCTAACCTAGCTTTTGTTTGTAAATGAACGTTACTGTTAGAAGATGAGTGAAATGGATAATGATTAATATTGTTCGTAACCTCCTGTATACTGTCGGGTCAGGTAAAATCTTGTACGTTAGCGTGTTTATACATCACTTAGGTAAATTATGCAACTCGCTTCCGCTCGTTGCACAACCTTCACCTGCGTGATGTAAAAACGCTCTTACTACACTTGTAAAGTAAATAGCTACAAGCTGCTATACCCGTGCTTTGCAACGGGAAGAAAATGTGACCTAGAGAGCTATTAAAGTGGTGCTGATGTGTGTTTTAAAATACAGCAACTCTATGATTTAGTTTGAAAATATAAACTGATTTAAAAGCGCAAACAGCGTAAACCTACTTACTTTCAAACCCCTACTTTTGATGTTAATAGATCCCTAAGAATATGGCAACATACCTTAGCATACTTTAGCAATACCCTTCATGAATAACATGTTTAACCATAATCCTTCAATTTTAGTCAAGCCTCTTGACATGTAGCTTACTCTTAAATTAAAAAATGAAACTTTGAGCAATACTTTACAAAACGTATACAACCTCACTAACTATCCTCAATCTACATTCACAACACCAACGTCTTTTTCGAGTAAATAAACAAACACCATCATTGTACAGACCAGCTGTTTCATTAACTAAATTAAATTAAATCATTTAAACATTGAAAGCATGCCAGGCGTAGCCCTTTGGAAATCAGCCTGTGGGGCAGCGCCCTTAGGGAATTCGTCCATTTCAATACTTTTCGGCAAATCTACACACTCTAAGCTTCATTTTGATGTGCCATATGCCTATATTTTCATTTGGTAAATGACCTTAACCGTTTACATAAAACTTCATTGTATCACTTTAATAATATAATAGATTACAAACAGAAAATAACATTGCAAATACTTCTTTTGGACAGTTCAGTAACTCCTAATAAATGTGTGTTGTTTAAAATACAGTTTAAAAATTAACAGCTGTTTCATTAAAAAGTATTATCCACATGACCAAAATGTAAACAAATCTGTGTAGGGATCTTTAAAGGCTTCTGGGGCAGAGCCCTAAGGGAATTTACTTAGTTTTTCTTTTGATAACTCATCTACAGACCAAAACCTTTATTTGGACACCTCTACCAAGTTTCTACGCCCAGCCGTTCTCTCGAATTAGTGGACACAAAGTTTCCAATTAAATATTTAGATTCCTCCATGTTAATCTTATGGGAGAAAACCTAACTTTGATGAATAATCCTGCCCAAACTAATAAAGATTTCAAAAATTTAAAAACACTTTGCAAAACTACATATCAGGCCATTTTTTTTTTACACTTTATTCATTAAAATCGAAATTCAATCTATGCCTGGCTTGTTCTCAGCCAGGTCTTTGCCCATGAGAACGTGACTTGAACTTGAGATCTTGCGATCATCTTTACTTTTCATTTCTATGAGGGGTCAGCGAACGTTTTGTATTGTTCATGAGTTTGTAAAGAAAATGATTTAATAATTTAAATTTTTAATTTTCATATGTGTATAAGGGCATTTAACAACTGCGCAATTAATAAGTACTGTAAACCATATTACTGTAAAAGGCCGGTCTTTATAAATTATATAGTTCTAAAAGAAATTTCTATTTGACCTCTTTGTCACAAAAACATACATCTTTGTATAATGATTGTTATGTAAATGCAGTTGTCATCGTAATTTACAATTATTGATCTGTCTAAGTGTTATTTTTTCAATAAATGTAAATATCTTGTTTGGTAAACAAAGGATGTAATTGAATCTGTAAGTTAAGACAAGTATGCGAAAACTACAGTTTTCCATTAGCTCAAGCCTAAATTATATTGTATGTAATCTAGCTTGTTATATTTCGTTATTTTGTCACGTAAAAACATTTAAATTATGTATGATGTATAAATATAAAAAAATTTAACAACAAATCCATTTGAAAGTAAAGTTTAGACATTGGTACGGTCGACATTGGTACATTATCATTGGCGAAAATGCTCATGCACATTAACATTATTGCGGCTATGTGTTTAAGTTGTAACATGGTTTAGTTTCATATAGAAATTTGAGAAAATAATTTTTATTTTTTTGTTGTTGTAATGATTTGAAATTAAAGTTTTACATTTACAATAGTCAAGAGTAGCCTGCAGTAGCAAGACTTCTTGATAAGAAAGCTCTGGAAGCTTCCTTATCACCTGGTCCAGTGCATGTGCTGGCCAGAGTAGGGGTAGAAGGTTCCAGAACTGAGATATCTTATATAAGGGAGCTGCTTCCATGTGGGGTTGTTAGTTCAAGAGTGTAGATGTACAGTGTCCAGACCTGGGGTGAATTTTCTGCAGCCTACTCAATGAGTAGTAAGTTTATTTTATTTTTTTATGTTATTTTAATTCATTCACTTTTATCCCTCCCTCTCTGCTAATTATTGTAATAACAAGAAAGACCATAGATGTTTTCTTATTAGATATTTAACTTTTCTTTCAATTAATTAGTAAAAGATGTAAATATAAAATGCACCTTTTTTATTCTTTTAGAATTTATTTAATAGAGTTAAATTTGGATCTAAAAATAATAAATGCTAATTAAAGTAAAGTTTTTAAAGTTTCTAGAAAAGTTTAGCAATTGTAAATTTTATTTCATTCAGGAAGAAATTAATGTAACCTAATTTAATTTCGAAGGATTTTAATTCAATTGTTTAGCTTTTCAATTTAAAGAAGTTTGAAACATTAAAGAAATATGTATTTGTATTGTAGACAGATAAGCTAGGAACGGGTTTGTTTGTTCACAGGGCTCAAGTGTGTACCAGTGATTAATGGTTTTAAAATGTCCCATAAAAAATATTAGCCGAATGTTTTAAATTTGTTGATTTTTTATATTTAAAGAAAACTAATGGAAGTAAATAAATTTCAGTTTGATTTTGGGTTTGGTTTTGAAAGTGTTTAGAAGAAACTGTTTTATTTTAAATAAACCATGACTTTTGTAACAATGATGAATTTTTATTTTGGGTCTCCTCTTAAGGCCAATTCCACTAAATAGAAGATAATTGATCTTGGAAATAACGTTACAAAGTTGAGACACGTTTGTAGAAAACACTAAAAAGACAATCTTCTAAACAATTTTAAAATATTTACAACTTTAATTATATAGAAATGTTCATAACACAGTAAGTAATTCCATTACTTGCATAAGCTTTTACGTGAGTCTTTTTAATAAATTGAAAATTAAGTCTGTAATAACTCCTAAAATAGCTCCTGTAATACCGGTACTTGATAATTGCTTGATTTCTAGCAACGAGTACACAAGTTAAAAATTCAACAATGCATTAACATAACAAGCTCTCTTTCACGCTGCAAGACTAGTAAACGGCAGAAGTAAGGCAGAACGGCAGAACTGCGGTATTGGTTTACCATACACGCCTGCAACGATGCGCTGCAAACCGCGCGACGAGTAGCTAAATGAACCGTAGAGTAAGTGAGCCTTCTAATATTTGTAGAGGGTTCACTTACTCTACAGATCATTGTGCCAATGAACTGTAGAGTAAGTGAGCCGTCTTCTATTTGTGTAATAGTTATCATGAAATAGGCTCGTATAGTATACGAGCCTACTCCTGTAATTTATTTAAATTCAGTATTTTGGCTCGTATACTATACGAGCTTATTCCTGAATTATTCAAGAATTCATACGCTTGGCTCATAGGCACTATGATCTGTAGAGTAAGTGAACCCTCTTAATTTATTTGATATTTTTGATCGGCTCGTATAGTATACGAGCCTGTAGTGCAAGTGAACCTTCAATATTATTTACGAAGCTCGTATAGACTATGATTTGTAGAGTAAGTGAGCCATGTGTTTTGAGAATTACATATTTGGAGGCTCATTGTGTCAATGATTCGTAGAGTAAGTGAACCCTAACCCGCATAATATACTCAATGGTTTTACTCAAATGAGCAACTATCTTCTATTCTTCTCTTCTCCACAAAGTACCAGACCAGCCCATGCTCATGTCATGTCATTTGTCATTTTCATAGTGTCGATTTAATTGTCATGTCATGTCTTCTCTGTTGTGTCGGTGGAGACTCCTGTCCACATTAATTATTTGTGTTTAATTTGTTCGATTGTAGAGTTGTGAAGTAATTATTAATTGTGTTTGTGTTGTATTTATTTTGTGTCAACTGTCACTGACTAGTGACTGGTCACCGTGAAATCGGACAGTTGCTCTAGTGCCGTAGCCTAGTACCGAGTGGACAGAATAATCGAATGTAAAATTAGTAAAACAATAATTGCTTTGCTATTCTAGGTGGTATTTAGCTGTACACTGTGCGTTATCAATTTGAAATATAAACGACGTTAAGTGGCACCAGTTCCTTAAAATGGCCCTTTGGACAGCTGATAAACATTTACATTAGTTTGTAAACGCTAGGTGTCTACCAGTGTTGGGGAAGAAAACTAAACCTGTGGTAGGACTTAGAATAGGTGAGTAGGAATACAGTTAGGCCTAGGTCATATACTAAGTTACTTGCGTTTTAGTTACTGTAGCCTATTTATCCAGTAAGCCATAGGCCTATGAATAGTTGTTTTGCTTATAGTAAGTGAGTTATAGTTTTATCTTAATACAACGCAAATAAGCTCATACCACAAACTAGAATCTTTTGGGTAGACTTCCGTATCTGTTGGCACAAACAACCGAACGAGGGTAAGTTTGCAGTTTCTTAACTGGGCTATGCTAGGCCTAATAGGCCTATCGAATTGAAATTGTTGATTAATAAGTTAGGCTAATCGATATTTTAAAATATAGCCTATCTATTATGAAACTAAACTGTCATAACCTAACCAACCAAACTTGCTGATGATGAAAAAATCTTATGATGGTTTATTTACTATCTTAATCAAATCGATAGTTTCAATCGATATAAGCATAGCCCGAGTTAAGAAACTGTACCCCGAATGAAAATATCGATTGTTTCATTCGATGGTATCGAATAATCGATACCGGTATATCGAGCGATAAGTTATTTTATTCGGTTGTTAGTGCCAACAGATAGGCCTACGGAAGTCTCCCAATCTTTTTAGGATTGAATTGTCTGGGTTTATTGGGTTAAAATTAGGTTTTCCAATTCTAAGCAGGCCTATGAATAGAATTTGGCCAATAATTTGTTTATTTTATATACTTTACTAAGTATCAACATTTCAAGGGGAAAAAACCTTAAGTAGGCCTATTAGGTTACCGGTACCTTACTTGTAGCAACAAACCTATTTTATTGAAATAAATTAGATTTACCGTTCTTTCCCTTAAATTGTAACTTAAATAACTTAATTTATCAAATTAAGGGAACACTTTAGTGGAAATCCAGCCAAGTATGGAAATTCTCTTAGTCTGCAGAATGGGGGGGGGGGATTTTGACACAGGTCTAATCACAATAATTAATCTAGGCTACTCCTACTGTTAATAATCAGACTTCAGATACTTGGCTGTTGACAAGTTTTTAACTTTTCAAACTTATGTGGACCTTGGTCCCAAGTCTTTTTTGAAGGTGAGGCGGCTGGTCCTTTATTATTGCCACTCAGCTGAACTTGCACTTTGTACTAAACTAAAGAGGACTAAAAAGAGCCCAAATTCGATTAGGAATAAAAAAAAAACAAGCTGTTGGCCCGTCCTACGTACGGGAATCGAGTGGTCCATTAAAACTGTAGGCCTATATAGTGTGTCTATTACTAATTTAAGCATAGTTTAAGCAGTTCAAAATTTATAGTTAAAGAAAAAGCTGCCAAGATGAATTGTGACATGTGATCATTGTTATTTTCCCAACCTTTCCTCAAAAAGTTGAGTAGCCTAGTAAAATAATTTTCATAAGCTTTCTTTTGAAGATTCTTGAGCTTCGATTCGTATACAGCAATGGTTATAGATTCTTACTTATTTCCTATAATCAACAACTAAATCACGAGTAAATAAACTAACCTCATAGTTCTATAGAACATTTTTAAATTCAACCAGCTGTAAGTTATAACAAATTATATTGCACTAAACAAACTTAATATTAAGACTGATAAAAAAAAAATTAGAACATCTAGTAGCCTATATATAGAAGTACCGGTACCTATATTTAAATAAACTATCATTCTCTCACCGAATAAATTAACCCTCCGAGTGTCCGTTGTTTTGGCCTTAATGTCTGCCTATTTTTTGCTCATTTGCAAGGTTTTATTAAAACGGATCTGAGAAGCTTGAAAACAATGTTAATTATACTGTTCTATATAGCCTTTTTGTTTGGAAAATCATGGGCTTCAATATTATACATAGAACATAAGGAACATTTGTTTAAAAAAAAAATGTTAGATAAAAAAAAATATTTTGGAAAATTTTCAAAAAAAAAAGTTCGCGCTCAATGAAATTGTATAAATTAGCCTATAGGCCTATAAATATTTGAAAATAGCCACTTTGTTCTAAATTTTATGAGGATTACAAATATATAATAATATAAGGAAGTAGATTTGCAAATAAATAAGTTATGGGCAAAAAACAGATTTCAGTACATAGCAATTAGCTAAGAATGCATAGCCTAACATGTAGCTAGGAATCTGGCTGATAATTTACATCAATATCACTACCTACTTCTTCAGGATCATCAACCAGCCCTTCAAAATCACTTAAATCTTCTTATAATGCACCACGTATATCACTACTTTTGATTTTTAACACTAAAACAATGATAAACGTAATAAAACACATCAGTCATCGGTCCGAGGTTAATCAAGCTGTTTAAAAATACGCACGTCAGCTGTCTGCTACAATATTTTTGGAACTAAAATGAATAGCGCTTAGAGACAGACCTCCGGAGAAAGCTCTGAATCTGTAAAATAAAACGATACCTAACTCGATCCAGTTCAATCCGATTTTGTCAGTCGTAGAGCCTTCGCCGTAAACAGTGTTTGTGAGTCGCTGCAGCGACACAAAACACTACACAAAGTGTGTTATGTGTCGCTGCATCGACAAATAACACTCGGAGGGTTAATGATTATGGCATTACACATATCTATATATATAATACGCTAAGCCGATTTTTGTAAACAGAACTCCTCCCTCATTTTTTGACCGATTTTGATAATTAAAGTGTCAAAAGAATGGCCCTGATCTGTAGTTTTGCAAAGTCTTTTTAATTTTTTGAAATTTTTATTAGTTTGGGCAGGATCTTCCATCAAAGTTGGATTTTCTCCCATAAGATTAACATGGGGAAATCTAAATATTTAATTGGAAACTTTGTCTCCACTAATTTGAGAGAACGACTGGGCGTAGAAACTTGGTAGAGGTGTCCAAAGAAAGGTCTTGGTCTCTAGATGAGTTACCAAAAGAAACACGAGGTGAATCCCGTTAGGGCTCTGCCCCAGAAGCATTTAAAGATCCCTCCAGAGATTTGTTTACATTTTCATCATGTGGATAATACTTTTGAATTAAACAGCTGTTAATTCTTAAATTGTATTTTAAACAACACACGTTAATTGGGAGCTATTGAATTGTCTAAAAGAAGTATTTGCAATGTTATTTACTGATTTAAAAATTGATGAGCTCTTATCGTGTCTAATAACATCCGAACACAGAAAGAAACCTTGCCTAGAATGGTACCAGTACCTATCTTTGACAAATTATTTGCAGTGGCCTATATTACGGACCGTGGCCCACTGGGTTGGTAGCATTTTTGAAAATAACACGACATTTTGGCTGTAAAAAATGGCCCAATGAGTAAATACTATTTGATCAGCTACTGTAATGACAGAAAGGCCATATTCCTTTTAAACTAGACCACATTATCCTTTATACGATACGTTGATTAACAATGCATTTTAACATTAATATTTACGTAACAGCCAATTTACAGTATTCTTTCTTTTTGAAAATGCCACTTTGCTATGTCATTTATTTGCATTATTTGTTGCCAATGAAGTCGCACGCCCATATATAAACGAAGAGGCCCCTAACCGTCGATTTCGACGGGTTTCTCCTAGTAGTATAAAATAAGTCAATTCTACGTACATTTAATTTTCATCCAAATGCTGAATGTTGAATTTACAGCTGTTACGTTAAAAGCAAATGGTATTATACTAAAAGCTAGGGGAGAATGTTAGCGTCGGCTGCTATTCTTTTAAACATTTAAAACTTAATTTCTTAAAAACTGAAACCATAAACTAAAATTATGGCTTCGACATTCCCTCGTTCTCAAAATTATCTTCCTTTTTAACACAAAAATCATGAAAATCCGTCAAGTGGTTGATTCAGAATCTTGAAATAAAAAACCCTGTATATATGATTGCCATTAATTTAACTAGTCATGGCTAAAGCTACCTACTAGTAAACCTAAGTAGGAGTCAACTTATTTGTTTAATTAGTTATTTAAGTATTGGTTTCAGTTTTTATTTACAAATTACGTTGATAAAATTCCTACCTAAGTTATGCATTTAAAAATAGGACTGCGTTCAGTGTTAGTTTAAGCTATTTTCCTTTTTAGAATAATTTCCCATATAGTTTTAATTTAAATTGAAATTAGACAGATTTTTTAATATACAGTAGGTCTAACGTGCCTTTCAACCCTTTTCGAAAAGTGTTTTATAAAATGTCCACAAACTTGTAAACTATAATTAAGACATTTTTCTACTGAGTAAATCAAACTAGGCCTATTAAGAACTCACAGTCCGATATCATAAGAAAAAATCGCCAACTTTTAACTCCTAAGAGCTCCCGGGTATAGGCCACTCCACAATTTATCACCAAGGTTTTTGGGGATTTGCGCTTGCAAAAGTGCTGTTTTTAAATCATATAATTTGAGAGGAACACACCAGTTTGACAGGTCATTGACTTAGTGAAAGTGTTCTACTCGGAGGACGATGAACTGTCTAATGTAACCTTGCCGGCTCTTACTCGGAGAAGTCCTTGCAGTGAAGGTGAACTGAGGCTAAGTTAAAAACTTTGAAATACTGTTCAATGAAATGGCGACCATACAAAGTAGGTATTTTAAGCCAAGTATGAATGGAGATGAGTGGCGCGATCTTGTAGTCTTGTTAGTGACTAAGGCTGACATATTCCTTAAAAGACACAGCTGTTAATTAATAGTCCATACAGCTAATGGCAACTAAGGGACCTACAGTTTATAGTGGAATCCGAACCACATTTTTGCCTTGGTATATACGAATTGGTCTAATTATCAGTATAGTACTGCGGATAGTCGTAGTACTCACTCGTGCGGACCTTAATCCACACCAGGGAGTATCACATCCACAGTGCATGTCTATAAATATCCACAATTCGTGACCTCCTAGTAGCTGGATTACAAGACGACGCCACCCGTCCCAGTTTAGCCTAGGATAGTCTTTGCTTTTTATCCTGGAAACCCTGACCATGGTTTCTACACATCTCATTGATAATTTCAACAATGTTACCTTCCTTCCTCTATAAAGTAATTAATTAAATCAACAGGGTGCCTACT